CTAGTAAAGGTTGTATATTTTCTTTAGGTCTTGAATTGCTTTTGGCAGTGTGTGTCAATGTTGAATGTTTTCGGTTGATGTGTTCGTAAGAGATTTCTAATTTCCTTCCAGACGTTCTTCCTTAATTTACCTTTTCAGACGGGCGTGCATAAGAAGAGGAGGCAACTGCGACCATCGACCCAACGATTGTTGTTACAACAGCTCGTGCCGTTGCAATCTGTGGGGATCGAACTGCAGATGCCAGCGCATGGGTTTGTTCCAGAAATGGGGATAAAGATGATAAAGAATGATAACCGACCACCGACCGACCATCGGCCCCCCCCACCATAATTAACAATTGACGACGAAACCAAGCTACGAATCAATGGAAAAAAAAAACGATTAACGGAAAACATCTAATGCACTATATATGTTTACAACTAATTTACTTATTATTACTTCTGTTTTCTTCTAGCTGTCTAAATACGACGATTCTAATGATGTAACGCATATGTGTAATATATTTAGGTTTATTGATCGATAATAACTAAAAACAAATATATGTATAGTTATAAATATGAAGAAGAAAAAGTAATTGAGAGCAAAACAATACTTATTTCCTTATTTTTTGATACTTTTTTCTTTGGTTCATCCAAATGTGTTTCTGTACGAATTATGTTCCGTGTTCTGTTTAATAATAGTTATCTATCTTCCTGCGTTTGCTTCAGCTGCATTCTCACTAGAGGTTTTTCCAGCCACATCTCTAATCAGAACGCATGCCTGAAGTTCTTCATTTTCTGTCCCGTTTCGTTCGATGCATAATAAACCGTATTATATTTCAAACACACACTTACACCGATTGTAATTATGTAATGTTTGTATAGATGTCATTATATAATACAATATATATATACTTGAATGGCTTAGCCGTAATTACCTAAGCTACTAATTGTTGTTAGTGAATTGAACAAAAGTCATATATTAAATGAAATGATATAATAATTAATTATCTTTCTATGTGAAAAGGGTACAACATTCAACACTCTTGTCAATATTAAATTTATCAATTGGCCTACTTCCTTGTTTTATTTTGTTGTCCATTCGTTGACGTCTTTTGTTTTTATTTTATTTTTTTTAATAAATAATACAGCCACTATCGGCGCAGGTAAGTAAATAATTATAATTCTGTTAGTTCGAAGCACTTTCCACATCACTATATAATATATAGTAGAATTTGATTAAAGTAATTCTTTCTTAACAGTATTTATAAAATAACAATTATACAAGTAGTTTGTGGTGAAATATAGTCTTTTTTAAGTAAGGTTTCATGAGACCTGAACAAATTTGTTGATAGAGCTCTAAACATTAATTTAAAGATTAAAGACGGAGATTATCAGTTCATTAAGAATGTCATCAATTAAGTAGGGGGGATGAGAGTACAGGAATCCTTATAAACAGAATTATGAATGGAGTTATACACAGTTTAATGGAAATGCTGAAAATATTGTAAGTATTGAGCATTTCGTGTTATTGATTTATTTGCACAAGAGAGTCACCGAAAGGAAGAAAAGTAAATAAAAAAAAGAAGAAGAGAAAGGAGAAGTTGTTTCCTTTCCTGCGAAACGTCCAATAAAGTCTTTCAACTTGAAAGCACACCGAAAACCAACATTGCCAGCCAATATATTGGATTCGTTGAAAATTCCCCCTCGAAACCGTATTTCATCTCGATCTTCTCATTGTTTGCATATGTCGAAAGAATGTAAGCATATGTAAGAAATCGATAAAATAAAGAGTTGACAATTGTTACATTAATAGTTTAAATAACATATAACAATTAGATTTAACAATATGTATAATGAATTTAATATTTTAAATATTATTTAAAAAAGAAAATAAGTATTGTAATTGAACATTGGATAAAGTAATAAATCTAGGTCTTATATAATAATAACTAAATAATATAGGATAATAACAGTATACATTTTTCCTTTGACCTTTTATAAATCACAATCTTTTTCATGACGCAATATCTCATCTCAGCTTTCGTTCCTCGCGATTTCTCATCTTCTTGAAGGCTCATATTGTTATGCTTTTATTCCTAAGACTTTTGCAAATAATGCGTGTGTGTTATATTGTTGCGTGAAAAAGCTCGAATTCAATTATAGTGCGATATATCATACAGCCTCTGCCTGTATTGTGTTGTAATGACTTTGGAAGTTATATCTCGCAGGTTCTATTTCCCATGCTAGAGTGCCGAGATTACTTCCATTTGTCACGTCTACATTCTCAATTCCAAAAAAAAAGTCCAACCAGCAGCATAGCTACTATATAGCAAGAGTATAGCGGATATTAATAATAATAAAACAATATTAAATATGATAGAATATGAAAATATTATGGTATATCAAATGATATGTGTATAATCTGAAATTTACAAAACAAAAAATTGTAAGCAAACATTTCTATCGTAAAATACATTTACATCCTGAAACCTGAATCCGAGCCGCAGGGATGCTTATTCCCTATTCAATTTCTAGTAGACTAAAGCTATGTAAATATTAAAATACAGAATTCGACAAAATATACAAACAACATTTATACTTTCTGCAGCATTTACATTTCTGCAACTATACATTTAATTATCTCGAAAGAACGCACTCTGCATACTTTGCATTTATTTAGCCTTAATTTGTATGTTTTTTTTTTCATTAATTAGTACTATAATTGAAAACATTTTGTATGTTTTATAAACCGTACTATAATGAATCCGGACTGACCGAAGCCGCATTATGTGAGTTGTTGCTATGCTGAAAATGTATACATCTTATAAATCTTACTTTCCAGGAAATGGAAGCTTACATTTATGACGCATTTAAATACGAAACAAAGTATTCACTTAACACTTAGAACTTAATTTGCATGCTCGAGGGTACTAAAAATATTTCGAGAGTAATTGTTCTCGCAAGTTTGAACGCCTCACGTCGGCGACAAATCTTCTGTGCATAATGCCTTCTAATTTATACGATTTTCTTGCACAGCAACATTTTATGTTTTCTATCTCAATTTAAAACAACATTAAATACGGATAATTATTATAATTACCTAGTTTTGGATTAATTAATTATTCATGACATACATTGACACAATTTACATCATAATACAATATAACAAATATTGCAAATAATAATAATAGATTAATCTACATTTTAATAGTCACAACATATTTTATGAAAGAAAAATATTAAAAATTTAAGACTTGAGGTAAATTCAATTAATTTTAGGTAAATTCCGAGCACAATCTTTGAAGAATATAAAATTAATTAACTCAAGCTTATATTAAAACCAATTAAAGCTCTTTTGTGTTTCATTTTACTAACAAAATTAACTTTTCTTTTCATATATTTTCACGATCGAGGTTCATAAAAAAAAACAAAAGCGTATTTAGATAGTATACGCGTCAAAGCTTCATTGATTTTTGCATTACGAAAATATGTTAGGCCATTCATTTCCTGCAGACGTTATCTATTATATTCCGCATGTTCTTTTTTTTATATAATCCAAAAAGTTTCCTATGCAAGGGACAAATAAGAAAAAATGTGATCATGATGTGAATTGTATAGCCTTTTGTATGTACAGTGATAACGAGAATGTATATTTAGTTATCAATCATTTGTATATACACATTTCGATTTATGAATTATATGAAACCATATACTGAATACAATATGTATATAGTAAAATATAGTGTTTGAAACCGGACTAATCGAGGAACGAAATACATATAAAAAAGGAAGAAAAAAAATAGATTATTTATGCATTATGCATGGCATTTAATTTTAATCCCATAGATAAACCAGCGTATGGTAAATCTAGTGGATCAAAACGAGATAGCGGCTTCCACGTGGCCGCATCCCAGGTGCAAAAGGTATATCACTTCTCTCGAAGATGATAACCAGGTATCAATTCAAGCGCAAAACATAGCCTCTGAATTGATTCAAGACCGTTTCGCATTTACCTTCACGAGGTTGCACCTGTTTCATACAGAATATGCTACGG